ATTTAGATTTTAAAACTAAAAATAGTATTAATTTTTGCTAAATTTTCAGTTGTTTTATAAAAATTAAATTTCAATTTAAGAAATATAGTACTGTATGCACACAGTTGATCATAAATTATATCAAGATATACATTGATATATTTTCATATTCACATATTCATATATCTGCAGATAAATATGACAAAATTACATAAGCCCACATCAATGCATTGTCGTGTTCTAACGCTTATCAGCAAATATTGAACTAACATTAATGTTCTGAATATGACATGTGACGTTCCCTGTTTCCACAAAGTTTTCTCCATAAATCTTTGCTGATTTACATGGTCTAGTACGAACATCACAAATTCCATCGCCAAGAACAGAAAACACTAATGGTGGTTCAGCCAGTGAGATAGAACAATCGCTTCCTCCCAATCCTTCGTTGCATTCACATGTACCGTTTACGCATTCACCTTTGTCATTACACTCATTCACACACAGCTGTCCCAATAGAGCCGTAGGTGGCACCATTGTACCGTTATCTGACTCTTCCCAATACATGGGGTTCTTTGTGAGTACTACTTCGCAACGAAGTTGAAGATCTGATATTGTCTGTCTGGCCAAAGATACGTCATCAGATACCTTAAACAGAACAAACTTATCTTAAACATTTTTCCTAACATGTTAACACATACACACAAGATAATCTTTTTCCAGCAAAGGACGCATTTTTCTCATGTAAAATATGCATTAATTGACTATCGCATGTCACACATGTAAAACTCCTTCCATAAACTGAATTTGACATTTTGATTTTGATATTTATGGGTGGAAATACACAACTCTGGTACAAGAATCAAGATAAGGTAATACCAAAAAGGTCTCTGCATATCTATTGTTCATAAAATATTCATGAGGCGTTGTAAAGCAAATAAAAAAAAATGTGAAATGAATATTATATTCCGATGTATTAAAGTTAGACTCTGGAGGAGGGAAATTTTTTGAAGCGCCCTTCTCGAATAATAATTCAATTAATCTGGACTGTGGATGTTGACATGATTTGAGGTGTGGAGTAGAATCACATTCTCCTTTAGTCAATATCAAAAGGAGGATATTTATCTTGGACAAATGAGAGCTCCCTAGGCAGACAGTATATTCGCAATTTTCATCTTCTTACATTTTTCTATAGCCTAGTCCTACTACTTTTCCGACAATTTGCACCTAACACATTCTCATCCGAGTTTTCAAGAAAACCTGCAAGGCAATGATCCTGCCATCCTGCTCTTAATAGGCCGATGGTTTACAAGCCACCACCACTGATTTCATATGCTATTCTGCTGTTATGAAATACTGTACTCAAAACATTCTTGTCATGACACGCCATGCTCTCTGGACGATTATCTTTTCTGCCGCACCACCATTCGTAATTTGGGGTTTCCTGATGTCCTTATAATATAATCGTTTTTTATTCAAAATGTGCTTCTTGAATTTAATAAGTTCTTATAAGAACCCCTCGATTCTCATCTGTTTCCCGTAAGCGCCCCCTCAATTTCTACTCTGTTTTGATAAGCCCCGTTTGAATAAGCGCCCCGCTAAAAGTGCAAAAAATATTTTAAGCGCCCAAAATTGTTTTTCCTCCAGAGCATGACTTTAAATAATCCTCAGGACTACCTCTCTCCGCCTCGCGTCAGGAGTTCATCCGAACAATGCTTTTTTTTTTTGTAAAATACCAAATCCATACCTTGACGTCTACAATACATCCTTCTATAATGTCATCAACAGTCACTGAACCATTGTTAATTGCATTTAAACACAAGTTGTATGTAGTTGAGTTCATGAGAGTCTCGTTGCAGAGTTGCTTTGTATATTCTTCAGTCAAACCACTTGCTGTGGGAAATCCCGGAACCTAATGCACATGAAATACAGATAGAACATTTGTAGATCTCATTTCATATGCATTACTTTATTTGCAATTCTTCTATCAATCATTAAAAAATTCTATGTTTAAAACAAACAAAAAATTACCATAATTAGAGTAGTTACAGTTTACCTTATAGAAAATGTATTAATCTTATTAAACATGAAATTTTTTTTTCTTTCTGAATATACTAATGTATCCACTGCCTACAAATTCATACTATAAATCTTACGTATGGCTCAAAATCTTTATCATTTTCAGATTGAGTAAATTCATAGGTTCCAACAAGGTCATCAGGGTCTTCTTCTACGATCTCCCTCCTCCTTCGATTATTATCATCACAATTAAGAATTGGATCATTATCTGTTCTTGCATTACAGTAGTCACACTTGATAATGTCTTCATCACAAGTGCAATAACGTTTAATTGTGAATTCTTTATCAACGTTCAAGACGCCCAGAAATATGTTTTCTTCATCAGCAACTCTATATTTGAACAGAAAACTAATATTTCAATCACATTACTAAATACAAAAACTACAGTCCAAAGAGACATTTTGGAACATAATTACATGAGCCTCAAAAATTTATCAATCCATCAGACCGACCGAAAACAAAATGCTATTTCCATCGGATTCATCTGCCAATGTGAAATTCAATTACATGAAAAAAATTAGCCGAATTTGAGGTAGAAGGTTATATAATGAACATTGTTTTCATTTAGTATTGATAATACAATAGTAAATCTTTTAAATCATTAGATTTGGAAAAAATGTTGACCTCCACCCCCTAAATTTCAACCCAGATCCTCCTAATTCATATTCCCATTCATTTTACTAATCCTAAAGGTAGTACTAGTTTGGGACACTGTGACCACTGCTTGGGATTTATCCCAAGATCTTGGGATATTTAATGACACCTTGGGATCTTGGGATTTTTTGTTAACTTTTCATTAAATCTCTGGATTTTTAGAATGATATGGACTTTTTCATTGTATTTTTTTTTTTTTGCAATAAGTGAACAACTAGGCTGCTTATGAACTTATAACACCATTGACAGTTGTGAATGAGGAGGGCTGTTCATTTGTTCAAAATAAATTACCCAAGAAGTTAAAAATCAAGTAAACTGCCAGTATGGCTTTTGAGTTATGCCCCCTCAAGAATACACACACAGACGCGTGCTTTTGCAATACCCTTCACCTCTTCTTTGCAATATTGTTTAAAAAGTAATACTGTATAGGTTATACCTCCAGCTTTCATAAAAATTTTTCGATGGTACACTATTATGAATTGCCGGTTCACAGTCCTCCGGTTGAGAGCAATCGTACGTCGTTGCACCAGCTGGTCCATACTGACCATCATTTGATGGGTCTTTATCAAAATTACCGCATAAACCATCAATGTTGTTGAAATCATCTGATGATGCAGAGAGATACAAAGATAAAAAGTGACTCCAAAACAGTTTTATAGTAAGGACTGATCCTGTTGGTAAATAAATCTGTGGGAAAAAAAATATTCAGTTGTCATCATCACCACCGTCATTAATAAAAACATGCTATCGGCCTATAATTTAGGAAAACTTCGTACGGAGAAAATGAGAAAGCGGATTAAGTATAAGGCTAGTCGACAAGGACCAGTATACGATGGAGAAAATCTATATTGTTTTAAGTTTGAAGAAGACTATGTTAAATACACATTAATTAAACATCACAAAATTTTAGAAGTTTAGATAATTCTTTCTCTACATTAATACATGACGGACATTTTCAAAATAAACATTCCAAAACATCACAAATATTGCAAAATTGTACTCAAATATGGCTGATATTTCTTGTTGCTTGATTGTAAAATGTAACTATAGTTTAAACATATCAATAAGTATTTCTTTTGAATAGTAGCGCATGCACACCAATTTACAGTAACAAATTTATTCTGTCTAGAGGTCAAACATTTTCCTTTTATGTCTACATTTTTATCATCTTGAAATTACTCTAGTACATTTTTAAATTATTAAGTTTTTACTTTGAAAATAAATTTCAGCATATAGTATAGGATAGATATCATTCTGAATAGACACTTATTTATACGGAGTGTCACAAGGCTCGATCCTAGGCCCACTCCTGTTTTTCAATTACATTGATAGTGTTGCAAATTTACTTTTCTCACTTTTTAAATTAAGCCTATTTATATTTTCCCATATAATCATCTGGCATTATTCAGAATGACTTCGATCTAATTTGTACATGGGTAAATGATCAGAATCTAGCGTTAAACATTTCCAAAACTAAATAATTGGAAAGAATCATATGTCTTAGTATCTTTAGAAGTCTAAAACAGTTTTAGAATGAATAAGTGAGTAGCACTTAATAATATGAACTGAAATTTCAAAAATTTATTGGAAAAACTTGGAGGCACAGGCCAAACACCCCACCGCCCCCACACGACCCCTTAATGGATCCGTCCCTGTTAATCAGACGAAATTTCAAAACTTTAGTGCCAAAACGGGAAGGCACGTGTTGAATCCTCATTACTGTTGATCAGACGTGTTTCGAGAGATTCAAGATAGAGACAGATGGTAGGCCCTAGGTATCCTATTTAACTAAACCTGAGCCTAGGCCACTAGGCTAGGTCTAGGCCTATCTTTTATCGACATCATAGGCTAGGCTAGGCCGCACATCAGCCCCACACGTCGGGGATGTCGGATTATTTTATTTAATTCTCAACCCAAAAGAGATAGAAACCTCCACTAGTTTTGAACATTAAAGAACACATTATGGGAGAAAACAATAAACTGTCTTCATAAAGTTTTAAACGAGGATAAAATTTAAAAAAAATATACATTTCATCCAAACATTTTAAATTATTAAATGTAACTACTAATCTTTCATAAACTTTCTTACGTCAACTTGACCAAAGGGGAGACATACATTAAGCAGTTAGCGCGAGTTCGACCCGGAGTACGACTACGAACGTACGACTACGAAAGTAAGATTAGAATCAAAGTTTTTGTACAAAACAACATATCCAAAACAAATCTATGTTATAGGCCTATATTGAAAAAAAAGTAAACTTTCACAAAATTCGACCAAATATGGTTTGGCCGTGACTTTTCCAATGTTACAGGCAGGTAAATTTTTATACGGCCAGATTTGAGGAATCTGGCCGTCAAAAAGGCCAATTGGCAACCCTGGTGAGAAGTACTGCTTTGGTGACGTAATGAAGATGTGAAACATAGACTGGTTCTTTTACAGTCAGAAACAGGTACTGATATTCGGTGTTTTTTTGTTGTTATCCAATATCAAGCCAGAAAAGTAGCGGAATGTGGTAGTGACATATATAAGAATCACCAGTGTATGAGATATGAGCATATTCCTGCCAGATAGGAGATAGGTGAATTCATTCGGTGGCGATTAGCAGAATTAATATATAGATAATATTTTATTCAACCCCTGTCTGTAAAGGGAGACCTAGTTTTCTTATTTTTGATATTTTTTTTTAATTTTAACTTTTTTTTTACTTTTTAACTTTTCTATGTGTTGAATTGAAAATTGTGGACACTCAAACAGTGCCCAGTCGTAGGCATATTCCTAAATAGACGTAGCCTATTCCTAAATGGAGTAGACTCTATAATATACAGTATATCATTTATATTAGTATGTTCTTTAGTATGTTTTTTGTTTCATTGACAGTTATCTTCTTCAAAATACCTTGAATTTCCCATTTTCATACTTCAAAACTGTTCCTGGTGTTTTTTCTCCATTCCTAAGTATTTCAGCAGTTGTTACTCTAGTGTTTTTAGGTGTTCGAATCTCTTTTTGTATTTGGCCATCATGCGTTGTTTTATAGGTTACGTAGTAGTTACCGGCATCATTGCATCGATCAACAATTAAATGTGTATGGCCCACTTGAACAGCAACCCCACAGTTACAAGCCACACTCTTACAGCTAGCCACTCGAGACTGAATCTGCAATATGCATAATATAGGGTAATCAAAAAATAGTGATCTTCAATTTTAAGTAAATGGTTATATAATAAAATAGTTCACTATTACGAGTCTATGAAAAATAGCAATTATTTCTGAATAGCAATAGTATTATACCATGCCCGTCTAAGTTATTTCAAACCAATGCCGCCGCCGCGGCTTCCTAAGTTTACATGTCTACCCTTCTCATTTAAAGCCAGAGGGAAAAATGATTTTGATATGTTATATTGTTATACCATAAAGGAATTTTAAACATTAAAAATTCTGTATCACAACAGTTCCCGATTATTACTTCAAAACCAGTCCAGTGTCTAAGAAAATGTATTTGTTTAACATATTTTTCCTCCAAAACATGGCTTCAACTTAGCCTTGGATACTGCAGCTTATATTATTATACCGCTAATAATGAAATATTACCTTTATAGGTAAAGTCCTATGTTGGTAAAATATATAGTCACCGGGTGTATATATATGGTAATACCTTTTGAAATGAAAAGATAAAAAAAGTATTATGGTACAATTATATTTTGAGATAATATTTCATTTTGATTATATTATAGGCCTAGTACATAATAGTATAAACTGTTAATCTCATTCTAAATTACATCGTTGCTATATTTATTCTTATTCCTTATCGACTAGAAACTATGGGGTGCCATACACAGTAAAGACTATGTTAAAATCAAAATATAATTGCAAAATTCAATGTCTAATTTATCAAAACATAGATCTAATTTCTCAAAATGTAGGTCAAGTTTCCAAAAACAAAGTTGTAATTTTTCAAAACGTAGTTAAAATTTTCCAAAATGTAGTTCTAATTTCTTTAAAATGAAATTCAAATTTCAAAACATAGTTCTGACTTGATCAAATGCCATCTCCAAATTCTGTTCCAAACGTAAATCAAAAACCACCCAAGCATGACTGGTTTGATTTACATTTTACAATATTGTACAACAAAAACTATATACTGTATGCGAAATGTAAATCAAAACTAGCCAACCAAAAATGATGGGGCCCGTTCCATTAATGATGGGGGGAATCAATTTTCGCTGTGTCCAATATGCCATTAACAATGCTTCCCAATGATGCTCAGGGTACCGGCGATCAATGGAGGCCTATGTGGGTCGGGATTAGCAACAAGGTATTGGACCAGGGTAGCCTAAACTATAGTTGGAGGCCTCCCTAGGCTAGGCCTAGGCTAATAGTATAGTACAATACTGTATAGTCATCTGAATAGAGGTTTACATTGTACCAAGGTTGAAAATTCATTTTTATTTTCATTGAAAATAAATTTAAAAAAAAAAAACCTTAAAAGAATTAAATTTAACTTAAGGATTCTTAATCTTGAAAAGAAACACAACTCGAATTGAAGCCCCTCTTTAGTTTGCAAAAGTAGCACCAAAACGGCAACACTTTTCAACCAAAACGGCAATAAGTCAAAACGGCAATAAGTCAAAATGGCAATAAGTCAAAACGGCAAGACCAAAAGAACAATAGGCCTAAGTCAAAACGGAAATAAACCAAAATGGCAACACTTCCAGAATTTATGACAAAAGTAAAAAGGCGCGAAAGAAAAAAAAAACACTATAAAGAACAACATTAATAATAATAATAATAGTAATGATATATAATGATAATAATAATAATGATGATGATAATAATAATAATAATAATAATAATAATAATAATAATAATAATAATAGTATAACATACAAATTCAATAGTTAAACAATTTATGTCATAAAAGTAACCAGAGCCTTGCAGGCGTCAACGTTCCTATGCATGACCTGTCTCTTATACACATCTAGCAGATGCAAATAATGTTCTGAGAGATAATCGAAAAACAATGGCCATTG